GAAGACCCAAGCCCTTCGTGTCAGCACGACAGGGTGTTGGTGGGCCAAGTCGTCTCCCGAATTTACCACTGGCGAACCCGAAACGGATAAGTCGCGAGTGCTCTGTATCGTTAGAGATTCAATATCTTTCTTTCGGCAAGAACAGAAGCTTGTTATTTCCGACGATTTCTTTGCTGTTCAAGACAAGCATATCCAAGAATTCGAACCAAACATTGAAATGAACAAAGGCGTCACCGGGTTCCTCAACTTGGCCGTGGTGAAGAAGTACCTACTGGTGGCAACCTCCTCCCCACACAGCGACGAGATGGCCCTGTATGTAAGTGATGACACGAAAAAGTGGCACCGAGCCATGTTCCCCAAGGACGACAGCCATGACCACTCGCATAGAATCAACCAAGGCGCATATACTGTCCTGGAAGGCACAAACTACAGCATTCAGGTTGACGTCATGACTTCGCATCCTTCACGGCCCATGGGTGTCCTATTTACCAGTAATTCGAATGGCACCTACTTCACCGAGAATATCCCATACACTAATCGCAATACCAAAGGCAATGTTGATTTTGAAAAGATCTCTGGTATCCAGGGCATCTTTCTTGTGAACACTGTCAAGAACGGTGCAGAAGTAGCAAAGGAGAAGACGGACAAGATCATCGTGAGCCACATCACCCTTGACGATGGCCGAACATTTTCGGAAATCAAGTCTGGTGACGACAGACTACATTTGCATTCGGTCACGGAGCTGGACAACATGGGCCGCGTCTTCTCCAGTCCTGCGCCAGGGTTGGTTATGGGAAACGGCAACACGGGTGAATCTCTGGGAAGGTTTACCGACGCCAATCTGTACGTCTCTGACAATGCTGGCTCGACCTGGAAGAAAGCTCTGGATGGGCCTCACAAGTACGAATTCGGCGACTCGGGTTCAATCTTAATCGCCATCAAGGACTCAGATAAGCCAGACATTAAGGAATTTTCATATTCACTCGACCACGGAGATAATTGGAAGAATGTGCCTTTACCTAAAGATCTCAGTATTAAGCCGGACGTGTTAATTACTACTCAGGATTCCACCAGTCTAAAGTTCATGCTTTTGGGTGAAAGGGATCGCACCTTTCACATGATTGCTATTGACTTTGAAGGGCTCAAAGAGCGAACTTGTGAGGACAAGGATTTGGAAGACTGGCACGCCAGAGTTGACAAAGACGGCAACCCCAGCTGCATCATGGGCCACAAGCAAACATATTCTCGCCGCAAGAAATCCGCAGACTGCTTCATCAAGAAGCCGTTCGAGGACCCCGTCCCCAAGACAGAGGACTGCGAATGTACCGATGCCGACTTCGAATGCGACTACAATTTCCAGAGGGACAAGGACAACAAGTGTGTCCTGGCGGGTCCCATTCCTGTGCCCAGTGAGGAGTGCAAGGACAACCCCGATGGCACGTTTAAGGGTTCCTCCGGCTGGAGGCTTATTCCCGGCAACACGTGCAAAAGAAAGAGTGGTGAACAAAAGGACGACCAGGTCGAGCGAAAGTGCTCTGAAGGCGACACAAAGCCCTCACAGCCACCTGCTACTGGCGAGATTGCTTTGAAGCAGAAAATCTTTGACTTTAGCCACGACAGATTTGAGAAGATATATCTCGAGAAGGGTGATGCAAGCACCTCCACAGACGAGACTGTCATTTTGTGGCCAGCATCAGATGGGAACCAAATTTGGCTATCTCAAGACCATGGCAAGGAGTGGAAGCAAGTTCTCAAGGGAGAAAATGTTCACGGCATTTTCCCACACCACTACTTTAATGATGTCGTTTACTTCACAACTGACGACAGGAAAGTCATTTACACGGTTGACCGTGGACAATCCTTCCACACCTTTCAAGCCCCATCAAAGCCAAAGACCGGCGCAGTGCCTTTCGCATTCCACCCAGATAGGAAGGACTGGCTATTGTGGATGGGTGAGACATGCGAGAAGGTCGGGGGGAAGGAGTCCTGTTTCCCCGAAGTGTCTGTATCAAGAGATCGTGGAGATAATTGGAAGACGCTGCGACGTTATGCAGAGAAGTGCGAGTTTACCGGCAGCTCTGCATACAAATTCCGCGACGAGAAGCAGGTTCTTTGCCTTGTCAATGTCGAAGAGCGTATGGATTCTAACCTCACCGTCATTACGAGCGACAACTTTTTCGACGATGAGCCAGTCAAATTTGATGGGCAGGTAATCAACTTTGCAACCATGAGCGAGTTTATACTTTTAGCGAGCAAGGATCCTGAGACTGGCGCCACACGTGCGGTTGCCAGCATGGATGGCAAGAATTTCGAGGTGGCACGCTATCCCCATAACTTTCACGAGGGACATAACGACGATTACACAGTGCTGGACAGCTCTACGCATGCCGTCAATCTCTTTGTTCGTTCAGAGGCTGGCGCTGGCCGGCTGTATGGCTCGATCATCAAGAGCAACTCGAATGGCACATCGTATGTCGTTAGCGCAGCAAATGTCAACAGCGACGCGGACATGTATGTCGACTTTGAAAAGGTTGCCGGGTTGGAAGGGGTAGCTCTGATCAATGTGGTTACCAACGCAGACAACAAGAAGGAGACGACGAATACGTTGCAGACCAAGGTTTCTCACAACGATGGATCCCAGTGGGGATACCTGCCGCCTCCCGCAAAAGACGTAGAAGGCAAATCGTACTCTTGCAGCAGCGCCAAGGGAGACAGCAAGTGCGCCCTTCACTTGCACCACTATACGGAGCGCGACGATAAGCAGCGGACGTTTGCCGCGGACACTGCTGTGGGATTCATTTTCGGCATTGGCAATGTTGGGGCCAGCCTAGGTGACATCAAGGATGCCGATACCTTCTTGAGTACTGACGGAGGCATCACCTGGGCAAACGTAAAGAAGGGACACTGGACTTGGCAGTACGGTGATCAAGGATCTGTCATGGTTCTTGTTCAACGAGCCACTCGCAAGAATGATGTCAAAACCAAGATTGTGTCCTACTCTACCGACGAAGGCAAGACCTGGAAAGACATGGAGTTCTCCGAGAGCGAAGTCACCGTGTTGGATATTACGACGCTTAAATCGGGAACCTCGCGAAACTTTCTTTTATGGTGCCGAGACAACAAGGACAAGATGATGACGGTTAACATCGATTTCAGCGGCCTCGCAGACAAGCCATGCAAATATAACGAAGATTCAGCAGCCGAGTCGGATTATACCTTGTGGGGACCTCAACACCCACTACAAGCCGATAACTGCCTGTTTGGCCATGAATCCAAGTACCTTCGCAAGAAGACTGATCGCAAATGCTACAACAACGAGAATCTCAAGCGCTTGGTGGAGTTTAAAAATTGCCCCTGTAAACGAGAGGACTTCGAGTGGTACGTCATCAGCCTGCTACGAATTTTCCTTTTGCCCCCTTCATCCCTTCAAGACTCGCTTAAGATAACTGGGCTAATCTGTGTCTAGCGCCTACAATTTTGAATTGGAAGATTCTGATTCTCAGCAGTGCCGACTGGTTCAGGGCTACCAACCTCTGTCGGGCAAGGAGTGGTGCTCCAGAAATCCAAACGCAACCTCATACTTTGACCCAACAGGTTACCGTCGAATCCCCCTCTCCACCTGTGAAGGCGGTAGGGAACTGGACAAGGCATCTGAGGAACATCCGTGCGAAGGCCATGAGGACGAATTTGAGAGGAAGCACCGAACCTCAGGCACGGCGATATTCTTTGCCGTGGTGATCCCATTCACATTGGCGGGGGCCATTGGCTGGTGGGTTTATCGTAACTGGGACGGCAAATTCGGCCAGATTCGACTAGGCGACACATCTTCGAGTTTTGACAGCGACCGCCCATGGGTTAAGTACCCCGTCATTGCGATATCGGCTGTGGTGGCAGTAGTAGCAACCCTACCCCTTCTTGTCGGCGGTCTCTGGCGATCGGCGACGGGCTCATACAGCCGGGTACGTGGCGGTAGCGGACAAAGCTGGTTCTCTAGTGGGAATCGACGGTTCACGACTAGAGACAGCTTCGCACGGGGCCGCGGTGACTATGCCATTGTCGACGATGACGAAGGGGAGCTGCTAGGGGACGATAGTGATGACGATGAATGAAAGATAAAAGAGACGGGGGATGGGAAGGGAGGGCAGTAAGAATCAGTGTCGGCGTTGAGCCGCGAGTATATTACCAGAAAAAGCCAGGAATGGCCGCTTCGCGGCTCCCCAGTCTTATTTAGCGTGGCTTCTTTGTATCTTGGACAATGTATGCATGATGAACTGACACGTGCGATCTACGTCACGAGCCGCATTAACTTTTAATAGCTGTAGTTAGTGTTGAAAAAGAAAGTGTGACGAGGAAAGCACCTGATTACGAGGCTAATAGACAACTCCAACTACTAATCCCGACTAAATTGCAAATATAATGTGTAAATTAGTGACGATACTAGCCAAGCCCAAAGTCCTGAAACTTGGCATTTACATCAAGCAATCAAGGCGTTTACTGTATCAAAAGAACGGCAAGTAACTGGTCATCAGTTTGAGAGGGGCGGGTGGTTGCCTGCCTACAGCACCGATGGCGACTTGGCGACTCATCTGCCTGCCGGCCAGTCTTTCATCGGGTGTTCATGAATATTTTCGCCCTTTTTTATGCTTTTCAAAGGCCTCAGCTTTGCTATAGCCTTGGTACCTTGCTTGATAAGCAGCTACACACACTGGGATACAGAGTCCAAGGTATTAATTCTTCGAGGAATATGCTAGAGCATCACGTTGAGGCGAGCATTAACAACTCCAAACACCCGAGGATATATACAGGATGGGGAAAAAAATTAAAACCCAACTGGAGTTGAAAGATTGCGGATATTCGAAAAGAGAAAGCCCCAATCCCAGTTCATGCCCACCGATTTCTCCCAATTTTTGAGATGCCCTCCCATGTTTGTCTTTTTCTTTTCCCGCCGGCTCCTACAAAACAAAAATCAAGTTGGTATTTGAACTTTTCTTTTGTGCTCTTTAGTGGTGGAAGAGACGAATGTTTTGTTGGACAAAAGTGATGCCTAGTTTTTCGGCGGTTTCAAAGACGGCATTGTCGTTTTGGCTGCCGCTTGGAGCGGCGATGTAATTGACTCCTGAGCGGGAGGTGCGGAAGACGTTGTCGATAAAGGGGAACTAATACGTGTTAGTCAATGCTTGAAAAAGAGTTGTAACAGGGGCGTGATCCGGGGTTCGGAAGAAAGGGGGTGCAACGTACGAAAGCGTCGCTGGAGACGCAAACATTCTTGAGTTGCTTCATCCAAGCTTCTCTCTCCTCGTCGGTGAAGGCAGGAGGAACCTTTTCGAAAATGGCCTCGAAAGCCTCGCGCTCGGCACCAGACTTGGGGAGCTCGCCACTAACGAGAAGGTCGATGGCGTTGCTCTTGTCGGGCCGTTTGGTGCCCTTCTTCCACTTGATGTTGAGGACACGCTCGTGGAAGCGCATCCACCAGTTGTCGGCCTTGTCGCCGGCAAGACGGGTGCAGTGGATGCGGGACTGCTGGCCCGCGCCGAGGCCAATGACCTGGCCGTTGTAGGCGTAGCAAACCGAGTTGCTCTGTGTGTACTTGAGGGTGATGGTGGCGACGGTCAGGTCGCGGGCGGCGTTTTCGGGGAGGGCGCCGGCATCCTTGGGGGTGATGATGGTGTCGAAGGACTTGGGGGAGATTTCGACGTCGTTTCGGTGCTGCTGGAGGGTGACGCCGTAGACAGTTCGGGTCTCGGTGGGAGAAGGGTTGTAGTCGGGGTCGATCTGGAGAACGAGGTACTTGCCGCCCTTCTTCTTCTTGAGGATCTCGAGGGCGGCATCCTCATAGCCGGGGGCGATGACGCCGTCGGAGACTTCCTTGGAGATGATGCTTGCGGTGGGGACGTCGACAATGTCACTGAGGGCAATGACGTCGCCGAAGCTGCTCATGCGATCGGCACCACGGGCGCGAGCGTAGGCCTGGGCGAGGGCAGAGCTCTCAATACCCTCGATATCGTTGACGAAGTACACCTTGCGCTCCTCTGCGGTCAGGGGAAGGCCAATGGCGGCACCAGCGGGGGAAACATGCTTGAAGCTGGCGGCTGCGGGTTTTCCAAGCGCCTGCTTGAGTTCCTTGACTAGAGGCCAGGCATTCAGAGAATCTAGAAGGTTGATGTAGCCGGGGGAGCCGCAGAGGACTTTGAACGGAAGTTTGTCGGAGACGGTGTAAGCGGCAGCAGGCTTCTGGTGAGGGTTGGCGCCGTATCGGAGAGCCATGTATTGCTCGCCCTGACCGGCGTACTCCTTGCGGAAGAAGCCAGAGATGGCAGTGTCGTAATCGGCCGTGTGCTCAAAGGCCTTGAGGGCATATCGGTTTCGGCTCGCTTCGGTGATGTCGCCCTTCTCGAGCTCCTCGAGGAAGCCAGGGTAGTCCCGGGGGTCGCTGAGGATGGTGACGCGGCTATGGTTCTTGGCCGCGGCCCGGATGAGGGTCACGCCTCCAATGTCAATCTCCTCGACAGCCTCGGGGATGCTGACGTTGACCTTGGCAACGGTGTCCTTGAAGGGGTACAGGTTGCACACGACATAGTCGACCTTGGCGATGCCCTGCTCGGCCAAGTCCTTCTCGTCCGACTCCAGGTTGCGGGCAAGGATGCCGCCGTGGACAGCGGGGTGCAGAGTCTTGACACGACCACCGAGCATCTCGGGAGCCTTGGTGATGGCGCTGACATCCCTGTTTTATTTTAGCCAACGGTTCATTTCTCTCCTTCTTCTTCTTTTCCTTTTTCTGTCCGGTGCAATGGCGGCGCGTGTGTATACTTGGGCTCTGGGCATGGGAAGGGGAGGGAAATTCATACTCGACGGCAAGGCCGGCCTCTCGGATCATGCGAGAAGTTCCTCCCGAGGCGAGAATTCTGACATTCTGTTGGATGAGGCCCTTGGCCAGATCCAACAACCCCGTCTTGTCGTAGACGGAGAGAATGGCAATCTTTTGGTTTGCAGACATGGTGAATCACGCCAACCTTTGTGAGGAAGGGGGACGAAAAGAGAGGAAAAGGAGGAATGAGACCAATTGCAAGTCTCTTCTTCTCGAGGATTGCAGAGCCGATCGGTGGCGGTCGCAATGAGAAGAGAAAGAAAAAAAAAGTTTTGGCGGGGTAACCAGGAATTTGATAGTGCATGTATCGCGATGGCGTAGTTTTGGTGGGTACTAGGGTCGAAACAGGCCGCAGTGGAGGGGGGTTGTCGGGTGCGCGGGGCAATCCGGGAGCGGCAGTCGTCAAGTTAGGGGCCGAGTAAGTCCGTGTCAGCGCTGTACGTGCCGTGGGAGGAGGGGTCAATAGCTGGTGCCAGGCATGTTAGTGGGGCAGCCGCATCTGTTGATAGTGTTTAGCACTCGGAATCATTAAGCACCAAGTCACCTGCCCGAGGTACCCGAGTCTGGTTTGATGTGCACATGCATTGATATGCTTTATTTCCATCCCATCAGAGAGGTAGATATTGCTGCCACGTTGCATTATTTACAAAGCTCTCGAGCGGGCAGAGGACGCCAAAGAAAAATACGCTCCTTTCGTGCAGTTTCAGAATGGACCTATCTACGGCGGAGGCTCGTGCATCGCCCTCAGTGCGTCGCTGTTGCTGTCGCTGTCACTGACACCTGTAGCTCGACCGCTTGCGTCTGATGCGCTTCACCTCCAACCAGCATCAACAGGTCCTCTCAGGTTCCCACACACAACGCAGCACAGCACAACACCAGACATACTTGATCCTCGGTCATCACCTCCCGTCGCGTCAACGCCCTCACTCCAAGCTCATACCCGACACATGCCCAAGAACTCAGCTACACGGCTAGCTAGCTGGCATCATGTCACCTAAAACGCTAAGCGTCCTCTGCTTCGGCGACTCCCTCACCTCGGGCTACTACGCCATGGGTCTCGAGTCCCATCCATACTCCATTGCCTTTGCCGCCAAAGTCCAGGAAGCCCTGCCAGACACCAAGCTTCACGTCTACACCAACGGCAGACCAGGCGACGTTGCTTCCTTCCAGCCATTTCGCCAGAGACTACAAGCAGAATGTGAGTGTAAACATGTCCCCTCCTTGCCAATTAATTCCACTAGGGGGGAGAGCGCGGTCATCCAAAACAACAACAGCTCTCTTGTATCGGCCGTGAACGCTGCACACACAAGCTGAAATGGCCACCCTCTCATCTGTGACGCACCAACTCACAACATAACATGATAGGTGATAAGCGGCATCACGACTGGGTAATCATCCTAGGAGGCACAAAGTATGCCCCTCCCCATTCTCTTTCAACATGTTGATAGTCGCGGTTTTTGCCTGTTCTTACATTTTCACAGCGATCTGGCTTACATGGTTCCCCCAGAGGAAATGTACAAGTCTTTCCAGGCCAACTGGGACATAGCCCTCGCAAAAGGCAGCAAGGTCCTTGCATTGACCATCCCCGAATCCCGGTCCAAGCCTGCGTGGGTAATACAGAATAGATCAGAGATTAACTCTTCGATTCTGGCCCACGAGGCGTTTAATTAGTAAGGATGCCCTTTTCTTGGCCTTTTGGGAAACAAAGAATAAACCCGCGTGGAAGACGCATAAGCGTCACGTCACAACGATGGGCCAAATATGGTAGCTGACCTTGTCTCCCCCCGCCCCCCCAATAGCCATGCTTTCGATCTCCATGCCAAACTGCCGTACCACTCTCTATCAGCAGAAGATAGGCAAAAGTACTGGGACGACGGCCTGCACCTGACAGACCAAGGCTACGAGTGGATGGGCGGACACATTGCCGACGGCTTCTTGGCGGCACTCTCCTCGACGAATGGTGTCAAACCATCGCCGGCGCCTAACAGCTCTAAACGGCCTTCCAGAACAAACGACAGCACCGTGTTTGAGGAAGAGACTGGCAACCCTGGGAAACTAAGCGAGGGATACGTGGTGGTGCGAAAGAAGGATTTGTGGTAATGGCCCAATTATAAACTAGGTTTATAGGATAAATGGAAATGAGACAAGTCTAAGATACTTCTTCACCGGGACTCCTTTTCCTGTGGTTTTTCCTAAAACGCCAAAGAAAAAAAAAGCAAAAGACTGAAAAACGTGTGCGCTACTTTTATGCCGCAAGGGATCGGGATCATGCATCCATTCACACAGCCAGATTTACTGCCACAAAGTCCTGTCTCATAATATTAGTCCAGAAACCAACGCTGGAGTACCTTTTTGACAAGGAATGTAAAAGAAGGAAAAAAACTCACAGGAAACTCCTTCTGCAGGGAATTGGTCACGTTTTCGACCTCTTCCGCCAGGCTCTCCACGTTGGCATCCCATCTGCGCATCTCCTTGCCCGCAATCACCTCTGCTCTGCCACTGCCCTTCTCCCCGGACGCTTCTCCGCCTTCAAACCACACAATGCCATCCAGCTGGTCTATCCGCCCGACGAGGCGTCCCTGCTCAATCATCCGGGCCGCCGTCTCCTCGGCCTTGTCCGCATCCAGCCCCAGCAGCGAGCCCAGGGCCCCAAACTGGATGTTGTTGAACAGCCTGGACGTGCCGAGCAAGTTGTGCTCGACGACGGCCCTCGCAAGGACAGTCGACCCGTCGGACGTCGTGGCCAGCTGGTGGGGCTCCAGCGCCTCGGCGAACTTATCTACCTCTGCCTGCGAGAGAAGCCGGTCCAGGAACATCTTCTCCAGGATTCCGAACTGATCCAGCTGCACGGACCGCTCGTCCTTGTACAGCCTCCCGAGCATGCGGCTCCTCATGGGCCCGGCGGGCGCCAGGATGGCGCACTTGATGGCCATGCCGAGGGTGTGCAGGCGCTCTTCCTCTACGACGGCGGGCGAGAAGCTAATCTCGTGGTATCGCTGCGAGGCCGACAGGAAGTCCCTCTTTGCGTCTTGGATACGCGCCTGCGAGAGTCTAAAGTGCAGGTTCAGGTCTGGGTCGGACACGGTGTGCATGATGTTCTTGAGTTTGTTGATGTACGTCTCGGCGGCCGTGGGGTCGTCCTCCTCGAGGTAGTTCCGGACAATGCGAACCCATATCCTGGCCTTTTCCTCGTCTGTGACTTTGCGCTGGGAGCTGTCGAGCGGGATCTCGGCCAGGACCTTGGCGGCGTCTGTAAAGTCCTCGTTGGTCTCGTGGGCTGTGGCCACGAGGTCGCAGAGGGTAGCTTGGGCGTCGAAGAAGGACGAGGGCTGTAACGAGAGCGCGGAAAGGGTGCGCGTGCCGACTTGGATCCAAATGTCGGTGTTCTCGAGGGCCTTGAGGGTCGCCACAAAGGCGCTGAGGACCGAGCGGGTGGCTACCACGCCGAGGGCCTGGCCGAAGAAGGAGTCGGCGGTAGCATTGAGGTCGTCAATGGCGCTGGGTCGTGAGGAGAGGTTCTTGATGTCGGCGAGGAGAGCTTCGTAAAGGGGTCCCTTTTCGCCGGATGCTGACTCGGCTTGGGTCAGAGCCTGGACGACCTGTGTGCTGGGCGCCATGGTGGTGCGGCCGTATATTCGAATTCTCCCCGTTGGAACCCAAATATGTTGTTGAGGCAAGGTCCGACAGGTGAGACGACGTGAAGGCTGGGGTGCTTACGATGCTGTTTGCATGTGGGGAAGCTATGGGGGAGCTTTAGCGGGGCAGTGACAGCTGTGGGCGTCAACTGATGCCACTGCTCTCATGCAGAGTCTGATGTCAACGGGTGTTTTTATAGCCCGTGGAGAATCTTTGGCCTGATGTATCTTTAGAGAACTAGATTTGTAGAGTCTACTCCGTACAGCGGGTTGGATAAGATAAAGAAAACTTGGAACTTCTGATTAAGCTCAACCTAGGCATACTTGGCCTCGTCCCAGATGAGGAAGGAGCAAAGTCAAGCCTGACCTAATAGGTCATGTTTGTGCAATAACTACTAGACTTATGTCGTATCATGGCCATGGACACTGGACATGGTGCCCATGAACCCAAGATACATCAACTTGCAACAGTCAGATGCAACAGCAAGTGCTTTGCACACAGTTGTATTGCAAATTTTAGAAGGGACCCATGCTATGCCACAAAATAAACCCCAACAGTAACAAGGTAGCTTTCAACGCATTTGCACAACGCCATCTCCTCAACCTCTCCCACTCCCATCATGGACGACGAATCCTCAGCCAGAAACAAAAACCCTTATACAAGTTCCATCTAAAAACCATCCTCTTTGCGGATTGGTGTATATACATCTCAACTCTATTCATTTGTTATGCCACAGCAGCGTCCGCAGTCCATCCCACTCGTCGCAATCCTTGTAGATATACACCATGCTGCTGCGCAGGCTGGACTGCAGGTCCTCGGGATGCGTCTTGAAAAGATACATGACCATGGCCCAGGAAAGGGAGGCAAAGGCCGGCCAGGCGTAGTAGCTGATTTGAGAATGCAGGGGCTCCTTAGAGACGACGGGGAATCCGTGCCCGGGCTTGACGGCAATGCGTGCCAGCGCCAGCGCGACACGAGCAAAGATGTAGATGACGATTTGCTGGCTGACAGACGAGACCTTGCCGTTGCGCTTTGACCGCTGGCCAAAGACAATGTAGCCGCCCAGAAGACCGGCGATGAATGTGTCGTAGGGGCCTAAGGCGCCATGTCAGTTTAGAATTCTAGCAAAGGGTTTCTATCCCGGGCTCGACAGGATGGCGCGCGGCACGTACCCTCCTTTCCGGGCGTTGGACCCCAGTGCTTCAGCGCAAGCACAGTCAACTTGTATATGGTTGCAAATCGGGCCAGGTTGGTGGCATGCTTTCTGGTAGCCCTCCACACGAGACTAATCTTTTGTCGGAATCTGTGTTTCCCCGCGGAGCAAGGTTCCGTTGTGTCAGCATATCAGTTGGACCAATGTCGCCTTCATTCACGGTTCGCGGGCGGGCAGGCGGACGTACGTTCCCGATCGGAAGAGGAAGATCATCCTAAACGACGCGCCGTGTTAGCTTCCCAGCATTCCTGGATTCGTATATTTTGTAGGCTGCAGGCACATCAATCCGTCTACTTACACCAGCGCATGTGGAAACCGGACCTTTGCTCCGTAGACGGCGCCATTGCGGGCAGTCTTGACGAGCGACAACAGGTCGTGGTATCTCGGGTCAAGCGCGATGCGCTCCAGGGCGGCCTACACGGGAGCAGAGCCGCGGCCCCAAACGTCAGCGTACAATTCTCAAACTCGCTCTTCAAAAGCTCCAAACTGCGCCGATACTGCGCATTGCATCCCGTACCTTGAGAACTTGGACCGACGTCGCCATCTTGTGCCTCGGCAGAGGGTGGGGATGTAGGTATGTGATGTCAGTCGCAAAGCCGCACGGCGAGAGGCAGCGGCCTGGTTTGCAGGCAGAGGGCGAGGCTCAAAGGGGGAGGTTGCCTGGTTCAAATCATCGGCATGCGGATTGACTGATAGTGAAGGAAATGCGCTTGGGTCGGTGTTGGCAGAAGGGTTGACAGCTCGAGAGGATGCAAGAACGCAGACAGACATGTCCGGGATAATATTCATCTGTCTGGTTGGAGCCTCGGAATGCGGCTTCGGCTTGTGTTGGCTGCGTAGCGCCAGCTGCTTCAATCCTGGCCACCGGCGGGGCCTAGCACTGTGCAGCCAGACCCAGTTGGCCGTGACTGGGAGTTTCCGTGCTGTCATGGGGCACTGGGCCATGCAGGTCTGGAGCCGGCCGCCCCGCGACGGGGCAACACGGTTGGACGGGCTTGAGCTTGAGGGGCAGATGACGCACAAAGTTTGGCGTCCCCGTCTGTCCCCGTCCTCTGTGCTGAGCTGCATCTTTCACATGTCAACGGTCATTTCCATGTCATCTTTAGCTAGTACTACTAGTACTACTAGTATTGACTCCATACCAGCGGGCACATGGATTGACCAGAAGTGTCAATCACGTTGCAATAAACCCGTTACATACCATAACGGAGCATAGATCCAAAACGGCAAGTTCCCCGGCCCCTTTTGCTCAAATGGCGCATCTGGTTCTTCTGCACAACTTACATCCATCCTGCTTGGCCCGAAACCCGTCAACACCACCGCTCATGAGGTTCTCGCCACTTGACGCCCAAAATGTCAAATATCTTCCTCTCGTCCCTGCCCTCAACCAGCTCCCCCTCCGTGACGCGCACCCTGCCAGGTCCCCGAATCACATCTTTGTACAGGCCCCTCTGGTTCAGACGCATCCCCTTCTTGGACGCTAGCAGCCGCATGCTGCGATTAAAAATGTCGTTGCCAGTAAAGTAAATCAGCGCGCCGCCCATCTCCGACGCCGGCACGAGCAGGAAATCGATGCGTCTCCAGACCGGCCGGTAGTCCCTGTCATTGATGCCCTTGGTCTTGGGGAGGACGCAGCACCCGTGCCATTTGCTCCCATCTCCGCCGGCGTGAAACGACGCCAGACGCGCCGTGAGAAAGCCGTCCTTTTCCAACGCACGAACCAGTTCGTCGAGAAAGGGGCGCAGCTGCACTACCGACTCGGTGCCTAATTTCGTCACGATGAAATCAATGTCGCCGGAGCTGGTAGAGCCTCTGCGGTAGCTCCCTCCAATAATCAGCTCGGCCTGCGCATCAGTTCTCGCCGCCATCCTCCTCACAAAAGCCCCGAGGGCCTCCACCTCACGGCGCGGAATCCTCGTGTTGAGGTCGTCGTAATGCTCGACGCCAACTCGCTGGCTGGGGTTGAGCTTGGCCTTTGACCTGATGTCCTCGAGCGTTCGATATCCTTGGGAAATCCACTGCTGCGCCTGTTTGTTCCCCACGCCGTATATCCGCAGAAATACCTGGAGAGCGCCATCCATCGGTTCGTCCTGCGCATATTCCAGTCGTTGGAGTTTGTTTGTCGTGACAATCTCCTCAATCTTCTGCGCGATTCTTCGCCCAATATGGGGCAGCTGGAACGCCTCCTCCTCTGTAGTAATCCTAGTCGCTTGCCTCTTCAAAGTCGTAATCGCCTTCCGGTAGCCCGTCGTCCTCCAATGGTCATTCACTCGATCGTAGTAGTTGGCCATGCTTTGCAGAACCTCAATCGTCCTTGAGTTTGGGTTGTTCTGATACGCATCCTGAGCTCCAGCCTGATTGCAAGCAAACCGATCCTCAAACGGGGTGTGCTTGCCACCAAATCCGCGTTTCTTGCCCGGCCCAGTCGTTCGCTGCTCTTCTTCAGATGACACTCGATCCTCTTCCGCATGTGAATGAGCCTCAGCCCCGTCCGTCGTAGATCGGCTATCGTAGTCGTCGTCATTCTCAAGCGGAAGGCCCTTAAACTCCTGCATCATCAAAATGTACTGCGACAACTCATCATTCCCATTCGAATTGTTTCTCTCAGATTCCTCGCCAGAAACCCGGTCTTCGTCCTCCCTACTTCTAGGGACAACCTTCTCTCCATCAGCAGCCCCCCCAACATCCCCCGAACCAACACGCTGCGAATCCTCCACATCAGGCGTCCCCAACACCGGCACAAAATCCCACCTCCTTAAATTCCTATGCTGAGGCTTGATCTTTAACGACTGGGTCGATTCCTCCGAACTTGCCACCTGCGCTTCCTCTCCATTCTCCTCATCTCGCTCTGGTTGTCCCGGCACCACATACTTCCTCTGCCTCGCATCCACCACCGCCCTGAATCGAATACAATCAATCGGATATTCCTCATTCACCAACTTCACTTTCCGCCCCAAAACAATCTTTTCCACGTCCTCGTACTGGATTCCCTTGTCGACAATGACGTGCGTAGCGCTCTCTACGTCTGGCGTCCACAAAGCCCCGTACTCACGGGCCTTATTTATGCGCAGTCTTCTTAAGGGCGCGATGTCATTGTTGGGTATATAGTAGAACGACAGGCCCTTGAAGATTTGTTCCCGCTCCGGGCGGAGATTGATCGAGTCCCGTTTCCGTTTCTTGGGGCCCGTTGAAGGGGAATCTATTGTCTCAGAGCGTTCAAGTGAAGTCACGCTATTCTTCTTCAGACGAGCTGAGTCGGGTATTATAGTGCCATCTTGGTCGAGGAGGCTAGTGAGGCGGTTGCGCACGAGATTCTGAGGCGTGGCTTTTATAGTTGTTTCTTTGGATAAGCCCGGTCGCTCAATTTTCTCTATTTGCTTCCGTGGTGATTTATTCTTCCGTGCCGCATTGCCTTCAAATACTTGCGGTCTAGGTGGGATAGTCCTTGTGTGGAAGAACCGTGCCCGTACCAAGCGGTCTTGTTCTTCAAGTTCGTCAAAATCATCTGCATTGTCTTGCAACGCCTTTAATCGATCAAAGTAGGCAATTTTCTGGTCAAGAGATGGCTGTTCAAGCGCCATGGTCAGAGCCTGGCTCGTGACGGGGTACGTTTGATAACTCCGCGATAATACGGATGCAGTTTTTTTGCTTCAACACAGCGGCAACAAGATCCTGGCTAGTTGCATCGTTAGTTTTATGGCATCAGAGGCGAAATATAATAGCTTCTCATGTTTGCTAGTGACTGCGCCGGTTGTCTGGTGCAAAGATCAGTGACGACGTCTTGGAGGTGCAGATGGAGCGTGAATGTTGTGCAGGTGGAATTGAATTCATCGCAGGCACCCACTCCAAATTAGTACCGGACAAATTCCAACCCCAGTAATCCATATCATCAACCCAATTTAGCGCCATCCGTCTGGCCATATCGTAACACAGTCATAAAAAAACAAAAGCTGCCTGGTGAAACTTGTTGATTTTAATACACAGCGCTAGCAATACACTGCTGTCTCCTTTGTTCCGCCATAACTAGAGTTAGATTTAACTACTAAAACATTATAAAGTCCCAAAATATAATAACGGCGGGAGTAGCCATGGTTGATCCGCTGGCTATGACATCGCCAGCCCAAGAATTCCGCCCGCCCTTGGTGTCCGTCCACCCGCATTTTTGAGCGCAGTACTGTTGTATATAACCATACCCGAATGTGTGTGTGCGTTTGTGTATATAACGTTGACCCAACTTTCCGGGCTTTTATGCCTCTAGCCTTCAGTATTATTGATATACAGCCCATGTCAATTCCCATACCATGATAGAGCCTACCTCCGTAGGGATGCAAGCAAAGCAAACACAAAAAAACTCCAATCGCTTATGCAGCACAATTAATTCCATTCATGACACGTTTGTTTCAAGCACCAAACCATCTTGAGCCTTTTCTCACCTGGTCTTTGCGACGTCGCGGCGACCGTTCCCCTCGGTCACCAATTTAAGCCCGTCCGCTCAGAGGTGTCAATTTCGCTTCCTCAAGAATCTTCTGCAGCTTGCGCGTTTCTCGAGCCGCCGTCTCGCGCTCCTCTTGAAGATCCATGGCCTGGATCTGCGCCTCGTTCATCTTAGAAACGACTTGCTGGATCTCGCTCTCAGCATCCGCGAGAGCCTTCTCTAGTTCAGCGACCCGAGCTCGGAGAGTCTTGATTTCTACTTCTTCCTCAAAGCTCTTAGGAGTAACAGCCTGGCCTGAGCGACCAAAAATACTAGCCACGCCAGACTTCAGCAGTGAACCCTTGCGCGCAGTCACGCCTACGCCAGCACCGCTATGGATGCGGCCAAGTTGCTCATTATGAGCCTCACGAAGTTGAGAAAGCTCCTCTTCATGTCGAGACACACGCTCCTCAGAGGCGGTCTGTGCCGTGACAAGCTGCTCCTCGAGAGCGTGGAGGCGTGCCTGAAGTTCGGTGATTCGCTCCGAGTTCAATTTTCGGTCAGAGTCGCCTCGGGCTACAGTATCGGCAAGACGCTTTCGCAACTCAGCATTGGTGGCTAGCTGTTGCTGAACCTGAGAAGCAAGCTGCTCAACACGCATAGCCGACTCCCCAAGCTCGTCAGATAGAGCCTTCTCCCTGTCAAGATTCCGGGATTCCCTATTTGATAGGCTCTCAACCTGGTTCATAAGGCCATCCAAATGCCGTCGGGCGGCATCTCGCTCAGAAACAGCTGCTGAAAGAGATTGCTCGAGGCGCCCGATAGCAAGCTTGGTCTTCTCATCGGACACGGCGTCACCTGTGCTAAGCTCCAGTTTCTTAATATGCTCCAATGACTCAGAGTAGGAGCTTCGCAGGTCCTGGTAAGCCTTCTGAAGAGATTCTGAGGTGACAGGGACACTGGGCGTGCCATTGGGAGCACTTGATCGAGCCAGTGAAGGGGGAATCAGAATATCCTTCTCCGCAAGCAAAGAACGAAGGGAGGCGATCTCTTCCTCGGCTCTATCAAGGTCCATCTTCAGACCGCCAAGGCCCTTCTCAACCTGCCACTTTTGCTCCAGTGCATCCTCTGCACGACGTCGCAAGACATTGATTTCGGTGCGCAAACTAGATATTTCCTTTTCAAATCCAGCTTTTTGTGGTTCTAGCAACAAGCGTTGGCGCTCTGATTCCAGAATCTTGATTTTCTTGGCATTCTCGCGGTTCTGGAACTCCTGCCTCTCGAGGAGATTCTTCAAGGCATTGTGTAAGGCGTCACGTTGAGCCTCCACGTCTTTCAATCGCTCTGCAAGGGCTTCTCTTGATTCGGAATGAGGCTGCTTAACGCTCTCCGACCTCGACAATCCACCCAAAGCAGGAGGGCCTCTAGCCTTAAAAGAACTAGTTGCTACTGAGTTTGATCTGGCTAAGGCAATGTCGTCAGGGCCAAGTGAGTTTCGTAGTGAAGTGTTTTCTTGCTTTAAAGATTGAAGTTGATGTTGCATCTTTGTTGATTCATATGTGAGGTTAGCATACGAGGCGGCTTCGGCTTCCAAACCTTCCACTCTGGCTCGCAACTGAGGGACAACCTCGTCTCGAAGGTTGTCTCTTTCATTACAGGTGTCTTGTAATTCACTTTTCAGTCCAGATAGTAGGTCCTCAAAGTTGTTCTTGGACTCCCGTTCTTCAGCAAGGCGTCGCCTCAAATCTTCGCAGGCCTTTTCTAAATCCTTGACGCGGTCATTGGCATCCAGATTGTTCATGTGAGCAAGGTCCATTTGTGAAGCCTTCTCAGACAGATCCTTGATCTGCTGATCGAGGGCTTTTCTTTTTGTCCTTTCATCCTGCAGCTTGTTGCTTAATTCCAAACGAATAGTCGCCTTCTCCTGCTCTGATCTTCTTTGGATTTTTTCAATCTCTTCTCTACTTTGGTCGTACTCGCTAAGTTTGGCAGAACTATAGCCCGAATCGGAAAAGTAATCGCTGGATCTTTTGCTCGGCGCTTGGGGGTTGTTGGCTTGTTCTTGGAGCCTATCAACTAGGTCCTCAAGGTCCATCTCCCGCCGAATAGATGCAGCCAGCTCAGAGCTGATGGCTTTTAGCTCGTCCTCCATCTCGTCGATTTCAAGAGACGACGCGGTCGTCCCAGGAGGTGGTGTTGATAAGTACGATTCGCAGTAGCTGATTGGATTCGATGTTGCACCATTGGAATGACTAGATGATGAATTTGATCCGGCGTTCCTCGACGTTTCATGCGACGCATTTACGCTTTTACTCGGGGACAGTGGCGAAGAAATCGAAGAGAAATCTGTCACCGACGGCGACGGGTTGGACCAGCCAAACAATGAAGCAAAAGGCGATCCTTGACCAGGTGATCTGGGTAGTGGCTTGTTTAACTGCGAAGATGCAGCTAGCTTGGCCGATTCGGGGGATCCTGATTGTCGCCGAGATTCTAATTGACTTTGGGAAGCTGACGATTCGATAGTATCGAGTTTTAGGTGCGGGGGCGTTGGTTTTGGAGCCAACATGAGAGTACTTGGAGTGTGGTCTGCGTGGTCGCCGTAAAGCGATTCGATTTCGTCGATGCTGTGATCGTCTATGGCGTTCTCAGGAGTTGAACTGCAGGCGTTGTCTTCGTCTGGTGAAGACGAATTGGACCCCTGTGAAGCTAATTCGTCATACACTGACAGCACGCCTGATGAATCAGAAGAGTCTCTGTGTCGAAGCTCGTCTGCTGGAATGCTGCGGGCCTCGGATGCTCCCGCGTGGGCGGAAGCTAAGATAGTGACTGGAGATCTAGGATTTGAATTCCAGTCAGTACAAGATACCGTTCAAATCTATATTGAATTCGAGCATGATTCATGGCACTCTGCCGTGTCCGTTACGTGAGCCTAGCAGAGGCAGCCGCACGTCTTTGACAAGATAGAAATGAGGCTTATGCTGAGAAGGCATAGGTGGCCAGCTCATATAGTCGAAACGAAGTCAAGACTCGATGGGGCAAACGAAAGGTGGACCAATGTGGCCGGGAGAGAAGATAGCAGGGTTGAGGAGGGGTCAAAGGAGGGCGAAACTTACGAGAAAGAGGGCACCGATGTTCGAATTGACTGCGGATATTCGTAAAACGTCGGACTATCGACAGACGGTGGTCTGGCAAATCTCTGGCCCGGCTTTGGGAGAAGGTCAGGGTTCAAGGGAGCAGGCACTGCCGCGATAACTGAATCGCGTAGAGATAATGATGCGGCCAAGGACGACGCCGATGAGGACAACGGCTTCCGCCTGATTGGGGTTCTGAGAGGAGGAGAGGGGAAGTGAGCAATGGTTGATTGAAACGTAGTTCCGGCAACAGGAGTCGCGATGGAAGTCAAGGAGCTGAGACTGCTGGTGACGCTATGTCCTATGGGTAGACAAGGAGAAGGAGGAGTGTCAAGGTCAGAAGGCGTTTGATGGCAGATCTTGTCCAAGGAGTCGTCTTGTTGCTCCTGCGGCTGCGGCGGCGGCGGTTGCTGGTGGTGGTGGCTTAAGGAGAAGAAGAGCTCGTCGTGTCGGAGAGTGTCAGAAAACTTCGAGGCAGATGTTGTATCAGAAGTTGACACGATGGATGACGGGCCTGGCTCCAGGTCCGCCAAGGCATGACCATGAAGCGAAGCTAATTGTGCCATTTTAGGACTCGCGTATGTGACCAGACCGAGGAGTAATGTCTTATCACCGGGTCATTAAATTGGCCATGGAAAAAAAAAGGATGTAGCAGTATCGGCAAATTGAACGAGAAAGGGAGAGAAAGAGGCACGGTCCAGGGCGGCGGACATTGGGAACCATCAACGGTGAGGGCAAACTAGCCATCAGACGTTGTTGACTGGGGGGGGGGGGCCAAGAACAGGAAAAGATGGCGCGAGGAAGAAGGGCAAGGGTGGCCGAGTGTAGTCGCAGGGTCACTTCACTCCCATGTCGAGGTACAGTGGAGAGCGCGCGTGGATCCCAAATGGGTTTAGCGGCAGGCACCCGGCCGGGAGGGTGGCATCGTCAACGACTGGTTCCTGGCTTCGCTGGCCGAAAAGGGGTTGAGACTAATTTGCACAGGGCAGGGGTCCATTGTCAAGCGGCGGCTCTTGGGTTGTGCAAATCAATCGAT